CCCAAAGGACAATTCAGCTCTGATTGAGTTTTCTGAATGCCAAGGTAATAATATCTACTGCTAACTTAATCCTGCTTTTTTTCTTCCAATCAATTGACATCCACTTGATTGTAACACCTGAAATTTATATGTTTGCAAAGCATTTTATGTACATTATCTGACCCTCATAGTAACCCTTTTAGTTAGGTCAAGTATTTTACAGATCAAAAACAGGTTCATAGGGTCTAATTTGCCTATAGCCATATAGTTAGTATATGTTCAAAGGCAGGCTCTGATTCTAAGGCTAGCCATCTATCCACTAACATGTGATTAGAAGTATTATTATACTAATTTTTCAGATGAGACACTGAGACCCAGAGAGACTGAATGGCTTGCCCATGGTCACACTATTAGCAAGTATCAGAGGATCAAGTCTTGCATTTGACCCTCTACAAAATGAAATCAGCTCAGGGACTATGCTTAGAAGTAGGCTATCTAAATTGAGGATGGGGAGGATTTATGAAAGGGGATTATATGGGGAGCCATCAGGAAAGCTAAGCTTTCCACTGGGAATATGTCAAGTCTTCTCTGGACATCTTGAAGTACTGTCTCTATGGAGCCACAGAATTTCAGATAACTTATTTCTAGAGTTCCTAAGAGTAGAATAGGAATTTTCCCATAGAACTCCAGGCTCCTATGAATGAGGCATTTGGTGTCAAGTTCTGATTGAAGATCAACATAATTCCCATCATAATATGGGGAGTATCATATATGTGTGTGTGATATTACATATATATATATACACACATATAGGTGTTATATATAATACATATGTAACAGAACTTTTGCATGGAAGAAAAATGGCAATTTTCACTCTCTGATTCTCTTCTTCTGAGCTTATGCTGATTTTTATTGGGTGAGGGAAGGGTCTGGACCTGTAATATCATTGACATAGGGAACTTCTGCAGAAGAAATTTCCTTCCAATGCATATTGAAAACTGCTCTTATTATCATCATTTTTACAAATAAAGAAACTGAGACTCTGCTATGTAAAGTGACTTGCCATGATTATAGAGTTAGTTAAAACCCACAGTGGAATTTGAACCCAAGTCCCCTGACTGCAAGACCAATGTTATATCCAGCAAACTTCCCTCTGTCAAAGATCTCCACTCATATAGGACAAGAATTTACAGGGCATGGAAAAAAAATCTCTATACTCTATGTCTTAAGATTTTAAAGACTCTGTCAGATGATTATTAATATTCAAGCATTTCTATTTATAAATAGGTATAGATGGGCAGAGTTCCCTCTGTTAACTGAAATTCTCTTGGAACCAAACAATTTGTGTCTACATTTTACAAAATCATGAAACAAAAGGCAAAATTCCACGGTAGAATAAAAAATAGGCATGTAGTTAAAATTTGGAGTTTTTGTTTCCTTAAAAAGAAACAATAATAATATTAGTGCAAAAGAAATATCACGGTAAAATCAATCACTCCCTCTTAATTCCATTTTCAATCAGGTCAAAGGTAAACAAACTGAAACCTCTCTTATTTACCTTAATCAAATCATAAACCCACAGGTGTCCCTGTGGAGTGAAGTTAGTTGAGCATTCATTCTTTAACTTTCTTTCCCAACAAGAAAGAGAGGGAGTTCCTTTCTTCCCAAGCTGGACCAATTTAGGTGAATAATTTTCCTTTTGGTTACCACCTATACTCCTTTGGGCATTGAGCACCCACTCACAAGCTATACTAATTGAGATCATTTTAACCTGAGGGCAAGATGGCCCTGAGGTTCATGTAGAATATTTTCTCTATTAGATTAGTAAGTTATAAGATAAAATGTTCTTAACAAAAACATAATAGCTCACAGCCCCCTGAAAGTAGAATTCTTAACATTTGGAAAGTGGTTCAGATAATAATAATAATGATGATAATAATAATAATAATAATAATAATAATGATAGCAGCTAGCATTTATATAACACTTACTATGTGCCAGGCTAAGACAAATATTATCTTATTCCTCATAACAACCTTGAGAAACCTGAAAGGCAGTTGGAGATGTTAAGATTAAAGGGCAACAGAGAGTTTGGGGCAAGATGGGTAGATTTAAGCATAGAGATAGCAATTAAATCCTTGGGAACTTATGAGATCATCAAATGAAGTAGTATGGAGGGAGAAAAGAAGAGAGCCCAGGACAGAGCCCGGTTAGAGGGTGTGAACTGGTAAAGGATAGAGCAAAGGAAATGGAGAAGGCGTGGTCAGACAGATATGATGAAAACCAGGGTGAAATGGTGTCCCAAAAACCTAGAGAGTAAAAAGACTCAAGGAGGACAGAGTGATCAAATAAAGAATAGTGTTAACAGCTACAGAGAAGTCAAGGAGAATGAGGATAGAGAAAAAGTCAATGGATACGGCAATAACAGATCATTAGTAAATTTGGAAAGTCATTTTGGTGGAATGATAAGGTCAGAAACTGAATCATGAGAGATTAAGAAGAAAATGGGAGGAGAGAAAGTGGAGGCATCTATTATAAATAGCTTTTTTGAAGAGTTTAGCTAGAAAAGGCAGAAGAGATATGGGACAATAGTGAGGAAGAAAGGACCCAGTGAGGAGTGACTTTTTCTGGATGGAGGAGAAGAAGCCATGTTTGTAGGTAGTAGGGAATGAGCCTATAGACAGGGTGAGAATGGAAATAAGTAAGAGTGTGAATGAGAAAGAAAGCAATCTGTCAGAGGAGATGGAGTGAAATGAGATCACTTGAATAACTAGAGAAGTTAATCTTGGAAGAGAATAAGCCTGCTTCATCATGAGACACAGGGGTGAAGGAGGAGAGAGTGGCAAAAGGTATCTGAATGCTAGGAAATGAAGAAACCTAAATGATTTCCAACTGGGGGCTTCTTTTTGTACTTCTAAGGACTGGCCAGTGACTGGCCAGGAAGTAAAGT